TTTGTCCACGACTACCTTATAATATATACCTTATGAATGAGTTTTCTAAAACAAAATGGTAGTCATTTTTCACGGAGTGAATAATAGCGGTGAATAATAATCATTATTCACGGGTAGCCATCTTGACCAGACTAATAATAATTATTTGAAACGTTAAAAGTTCAAAAAACGTCAATTTAATTCAATTTTTTAGGAGTTTCTAAATGTTTGACATTAAAAAAACCTAAACAAATTCCTTTTTTCGTATGATTTAAGCATAAATTAATTAATTTTCGTAAAGAAAACGACGTTTTATAAAACTGACATTTAATTTTGACACATTGTTGTGAAGTTGGTTACAGTTAGTAACATTGAATTTGTGTCACATTGACGTTTAACCTTTATTCAAAAATTTATTTAAAAAATAAATTATGGAATCAATTTCAATAGTCATGGACAAAGTATAGTATTCTACTCGCATATAATAATATACTATTAAATCTTTAGTGTACATTTGCATTTTTTTTCATTCTACTTCTGAAAATTGACACTGTAAGTGAAGCATATAAAAGGTCAAACTATTGAAAGAGTAAGAGAATTCAAATATCTAATAATAACAACAAGGATAGCTCCCAAGAGGTGTGCATTACAATTGAACAGGTTAGAAGCACGTTTTATGGAATGAAGAGGCTTTTTTGTTGTCGGGATCTGAATCTGGAGTTGAGACTGAGAATGATGAGGTGCTATGTGCTATCGGTACTGTTCTATTGGGTGGAAGCGTGGACACTTAAGGCAATTGATGTGAGAAGACTGGAGATATTTGAGACATGAATATACCGACGAATGTTAAAGATTTCATGGGTAGAGAAAGTGACCAACATAAAGGTGATTTGACACATGCAGAAGGATAGAGAGATAGTATTGACGACCAAACGAAGGAAGTTATTTATATAGGCAATGTCATGCGAGGGGAAAACTACCATCTTTTGCAAATCCTTATGCAGAGAAAGCTTCTAAGAAAGTGGTCCATAGTAATAATTATGATATTTATTTGTGCATCCAAAATATACATTTTTTACACTCGTCATATAGAAAAAACTTACAGAAAGAAAAAAGAACAAAGCACATAATACATAGTAAAATCACATGTAGATCGTCATTCTATAATTTGATGTTGTCACGACCCAATGCCACAAAATTCCTTTCAAAAAATTCATATTCAAGGAACTCTGAATAAGAATAAAAACCTCTCAACAGCAGAAATTGTTTTATCATTGTTGCAAACTTGCTCACAGATAAAAGTATAGCCGTTAAAGGTAATTTATTGTAAAACTTGAGTACAGTAAAATCTACACCAGGTTCTGTAGCTGTGTATATGTGTACTCTGTGGGCAGTATATTTATCTACATTGTTGTACAGGTACAAAAGACACTCTAATATAAATAGCGAGGGAAATCTTAGTATTTTCTGATCTATAAAATATAAAGGAATAGGAAGAATCCATAAGAAGAAGACTCCTGGTTTGGGAATCTTCGGGAGTAGTTGGCTGCACCAGCAACGAAGTATTTAGATTCGTGGTTTCACAAGTTAAAAATGCCCTGATGATTGCGAACCCCCTAAAGAAGAGGAAGATGATCCGCTACAATCTGTCAACATCGACTAACCCCTGTAGAACAGAACATTGTAAAAGACATTCGTCACAAGTTATTACGTCGTTACAAAAAAATTTTCAATTCACTTTTATTTATTTTATAAGACAACTTCTAGACGTTCTTTGAAACATTGTTTTGTCCGAAAACTACGCAAATTCTTCTATCAAAAAAGTTTTCTGATTCCACATATAATTTTTCGATTTTCAAACGATAGAAAGCGGTTTTATGGAGTTTATTTTATAGATTATGTGGTTCTATAAGTGTGATTTTATTCGTCAAGTTGTTGTATCCTATATAATTTTTATTTAATACCTGTCAATGTCAAATTTTTAGAATTATCTGTTGGTATTATCTAGGGTCCCTATAATATTAGTCGTTTCTTGATTTCTAGTTACATTTTCGAAAACTAAATAATTGAGGTTAGGAAACGAATACATAAATTTTTACTTATAATAATTATCTTTGTCCACGACTACCTTATAATATATACCTTATGAATGAGTTTTCTAAAACGAAATTCAGTCATTTTTCACGGAGTGAATAATAATTATTCACGGGTAGCCATCTTGACCAGACTAATAATAATTATTTGAAACATTAAAAGTTCAAAAAACGTCAATTTAATTCAATTTTTTAGGAGTTTCTAAATGTTTGACATTAAAAAAACCTAAACAAATTCCGTTTTTTCGTACGATTTAAGCATAAATTGATTAATTTTCGTTTTATAAAACTGACATTTAATTTTGACAAATTGCTGTGAAGTTGGTTACAGTTAGTAACATTGAATTTGTGTCACATTGACGTTTAAACTTTATTCAAAAATGTATTTAATAAAAATAAATTTATGGAATCAATTTCAATAGTCGTGGACAAAGTATAGTATTCTACTCGCATATAATAATACTATTGTGATATTTAGTATATTAATAACATTCGTATTAATCCAACAATAACAAATTTTTTTTAGGTAATCAAAAAAATGAATCCACTCATTAACATTGTGGCGCATGAAAATCGTGTTGGTCCCGAAACCGAAAGCATATACGATGATACATTCTTCGAGGATTTAGATGGAGTCGCAAACGCTTTGGATAACGTCGATGCCAGGATTTACATGGACCGTAGATGCGTTTATTACCGCAAACCGCTCTTAGAATCGGGTACTTTAGGTACTAAAGGAAATACTCAAGTGGTCGTACCATTTTTAACCGAATCGTACAGTTCGTCTCAGGATCCACCAGAAAAAAGCATCCCGATTTGTACGTTAAAAAATTTCCCAAACGCCATCGAACACACTTTACAATGGGCTCGCGATAATTTCGAGGGCCTTTTCAAACAAAACGCAGAGAATGCTTCGCAATATTTGAAAGATCGCGAATTCGTCGAACGCACTTTGAAGTTGCCCGGTGTTCAACCAATTGAAGTTTTAGAGTCGGTTAAAACTGCTTTGGTGGATGAGAGGCCGTTGAGTTTCCAGGATTGCGTGGAGTGGGCTCGAAATCATTGGCAGGAACAGTATTCGAATCAAATTAAGCAGTTGTTGTTTAATTTCCCACCAGATCAATTAACAAGTACTGGACAGTTGTTTTGGTCAGGACCTAAACGTTGCCCGGAAGCGTTAACTTTCGACATTGATAATTCGTTGCATATGGATTATATTTACACCGCTGCTAATCTTAAAGCCGAAGTTTATGGAATCCCCCAAGTTAGAGATTATAAAGTTGTCAAAGAGATGGTATCGAAAATTCAAGTAAGTGAAGTTTATAATAAAAATTAACTTATTTAGTTTATTTTGATGTTTAAGGTACCAGAATTTATTCCTAAATCAGGGGTAAAAATAGCAGTGACAGATTCTCAAATGGCGGTGAGTAATGGGAGTAACGTCGATATGGATCGAGTGGCCCAATTACAATTGGAACTTCCCACTGTTAATGAATTAGGAAGTTTGATGTTAACGCCGTTAGAATTCGAAAAAGACGACGATAAAAACCTTCACATCGATTTTATCGTCGCAGCTTCGAATTTACGCGCAGCAAATTACAAAATACCCTCAGCTGATAGACACAAATCGAAATTAATCGCCGGAAAAATTATCCCAGCAATCGCAACAACAACTTCCGTCGTAGGCGGATTAGTTTGTCTCGAACTTTATAAACTGGTGAATAATATGAAATCGATAACTCCGTTTAAAAACGGTTTCGTTAATTTGGCTTTGCCATTTTTCGGGTTTTCCGAACCGATCGAAGCTCCTAAAATGGAATATTGCGGGAAACCATGGACGCTTTGGGATCGTTTCGAGATCCAAGGCGAGATGACGTTGAGCGAATTTTTGGATTATTTCAAAAACGAACACGGTTTGGAGATTACGATGTTATCCCAAGGAGTTTGTATGTTGTATTCGTTCTTTATGGCGAAAAATAAAGCGCAGGAACGTCTTGGTTTGCCAATGTCTGAGGTGGTTAAACGCGTCTCAAAACGCCGAATGGAACCTCACGTTCGTGCTTTGGTCTTTGAATTATGCTGTAATGATGCGGATGGAAATGATGTTGAAGTACCATACGTTAAATACAACCTGCCGTAGATGAAAAATTAAAAATTAAAAATTAAAAAAAAAAAAAAGAATGAAAAGAAGAGATTTTTTAGTTTCGTTTTTTTCTTTTCTTGTTTTTTTTTTGTAAGTGCACCAGCTATGACATTGAAAATTTGAACTGAATTTGGGTGTTAATAAAATTGTGATCCGAATGTAAAAAGTTTTAATTTATGTCATCATCAGGAAAAATTTTTAAATAATTATTATTGAGGCGAAATGCCTCAAAACGCTAAAATAAAAACGTTAGATGATCACACATTATATTTATACACTAAGAGAGCCAGTTTAAGGTTGTTAATTAATAAAAACGTATGGCATTTAGCATTTAATAATCAAGATTTTTTTTTTGTAGGAAATAATTTTCATTTTATTTCGTCAAAAATTTTTCGCGAATCACTTCTATTTAATGTGTACCGCTGAATTTATTTTTCTTTTTATTTTGGAAAGTCTTAAAAGTAGTAATTGCAGTTTGTTAATAGTGTTTATTTTCTTAACAAGTATATTTTGATGTGTGAGGAAAAATAATTCAAAATAAACAATTTTTTGAGCAATTTCTTCTTTTATTTACTTATTTAGTTAAAAAATATAATTAAATTAAATAATAAAATCTCAATAATGTAGCAATGATGATGCTACATCAGAAAAGAACTTGATGGAGATGTTGTTTGGATTTGGTCAAACCCATAAAAAGTTTGGAACAATAAACCATTTTGTAACGAGATGTAAATAATACAAGAAAAGAAGCACAAGCCAAAGCACCTACAAGAATTATTACACACATTAATGTTTTACAAAAGTGTCAAAATAAAGAACTACATAAAGTTATACATATAAATTAGATAATACAGTAAAAAATAAACTTAATTATGTTAGTTAAGCTTAGAATTTTATTATTTACTTAAAAAATTTGGGTTGTAATGTAAAAGTTAGGCAACTTAATACACAGACAATAAATTGAGGTTATGTTGTTTTTCAAATTTTCAAATCTGGGTAAAAGAAAGTGTAAAAGGAAGATAAATGTTGAAACAGGAGCTTAATAAGAAAGAAAATTCATGAAATTGAATCTCAAGGAAAATGAAGAACAGGGAAAAGATATTAACGACAAAGTTTATTCATTGATTCATCAACATCAAAAGAACCTATTATATTGATGAATTCGGTTTAATAATCTTAGTTTGAAGATTTAGTTAAAAAATATAAATAAATTAAATAATAATAAAAAGGAACATCTCAATAATGTAACAATAATGTTGCTACATCAGAAACGAACTTGATGGAGATATTGTTTGGATTTGGTCAAACCCACGAAAAGTTTGGACAGTAAATCATTTTCTATGTAAATGATACAAGACAAGAACCACAAGCCAAAGCATCTGCAAGAAAGAACAATTACAGCTTAGGAATGAACTAAATTAAATGACATTAATCCTGACTCTCACATTTAAAATTAAAAGAACATAAAGTGTTACAAAAAATAAGCAATTATACACTTAAATCTGGTAATACAGTAGGAAATAAACTTAATTATGTTAGTTAAGCTTAAACTTTTATTATTTACTTAAAAAATTTGGGTTGTAATGTAAAAGTTAGGCAACTTAATACACAGACAATAAATTGAGGTTATGTTGTTTTTCAAATTTTCAAATCTATGGGTAAAAGAAAGTGTAAAAAGAAGATAAATGTTGAAACAGGAGCTTAATAAGAAAGAAAATTCATGAAATTGAATCTCAAGGAAAATGAAGAACAGGGAAAAGATATTAACGACAAAGTTTATTCATTGATTCATCAATATCAAAAGAACCTATTATCCTTCTATTATATTGATGAATTCGGTTTAATAATCTTAGTTTGAAGATTTAGTTAAAAAATATAAATAAATTAAATAATAATAACAAGGCACATCTCAATAATGTAGCAATGATGATGCTACATCAGAAAAGAACTTGATGGAGTTGTTTGGGTTTAGTCAAACCCACGAAAACTTTGTAACAGTAAATCATTTTCTATGTAAATGATACAAGAGAAGAACCACAAGCAAAAGCATCTGCAAGAAAGAAGAATTACAGCTTAGGAATGAAGAAATGAACTAAATTAAATGACATTAATCCTGATTATCACATTTAAAATTAAAAAAACATAAAGTGTTACAAAAAATAAGTAATTATACACTTAAATCTGGTAATACATTAACAAATAAACTTAATTATGTTAGTTAAGCTTAGAATTAGACTATTTACTTAAAAAATTTGGGTTGTAATGTAAAAGTTAGGCAACTTAATACACAGATAATAAATTGAGGTTATGTTGTTTTTCAAATTTATGGGTAAAAGAAAGTGTAAAAAGAAGATAAATGTTGAAACAGGAGCTTAATAAGAAAGAAAATTCATCATGAAATTGAATATCAAGGAAAATGAGAAACAGGGAAAAGATAGTAACGACAAAGTTTATTCATTGATTCATCAACATCAAAAGAACTTATTATATTGATCGATTTAATAATCTTAGTTTGAAGATTTAGTTAAAAGATATAAATAAATTAAATAATAATACAAAGGAACATCTCTATAATGTAGCAATGATGATGCTACATCAGAGAAGAACTTGCTGGAGATGTTTGAATTTGATCAAACCCACGAAAAGTGTGGAACAGTAAATGATTTTCTATGTAAATGATACAAGAGAAGAACCAAAAGCCAAACCATCTGCAAGAAAGAAGAATTACAGCTTAGGACTGAATTAAATTAAATGACATTAATCCTGATTATCACATTTAAAATTAAAAAAACATACATAAATAAAAAATAAAAAGTAAGTAATTATACACTTAAATCTGGTAATACAGTAAAAAATAAACTTAATTATGTTAGTTAAGCTTAAACTTTTATTATTTACTTAAAAAATTTGGGTTGTAATGTAAAAGTTAGGCAACTTAATACACAGACAATAAATTGAGGTTATGTTGTTTTTCGAATTTTCAAATCTATGGGTAAAAGAAAGTGTAAAAAGAAGATAAATGTTGAAACAGGAGCTTAATAAGAAAGAAAATTCATGAAATTGAATCTCAAGGAAAATGAAGAACAGGGAAAAGATATTAACGACAAAGTTTATTCATTGATTCATCAACATCAAAAGAACCTATTATATTGATGAATTCGGTTTAATAATCCTAGTTTGAAGAATTAGTTAAAAAATATAAATAAATTAAATAATAATAACAAGGCACATCTCAATAATGTAGCAATGATGATGCTACATCAGAAAAGAACTTGATGGAGATGTTTGGATTTGGTTAAACCCACGAAAACTTTGTAACAGTAAATCATTTTCTATGTAAATGATACAAGAGAAGAACCACAAGCCAAAGCATCTGCAAGAAAGAAGAATTACAGCTTAGGAATGAACTAAATTAAATGACATTAATACTGATTATAACATTTAAAATTAAAAAAAACATACATAAATAAAAAATAAAAAGTAAGTAATTATACACTTAAATCTGGTAATACAGTAAAAAATAAACTTAATTATGTTAGTTAAGCTTAGAAATTTACTATTTACTTCAAAAAATTGGGTTGTAATGTAAAAGTTAGGCAACTTAATACACAGATAATAAATTGAGGATAACTAAATTAAATGACATTAATCCTGATTATCACATTTAAAATTAAAAGAACATAAAGTGTTACAAAAAATAAGTAATTATACACTTAAATCTGGTAATACAGTAAAAAATAAACTTAATCATGTTAGTTAAGCTTAGAATTTTATTATTTACTTCAAAAATTTGGGTTATAATGTAAAAGTTAGGCAACTTAATACACAGATAGTAAATTGAGGTTATGTTGTTTTTCAAATTTTCAAATGTATGGGTTAAAAGAAGTGTAACAGAAATATTTTATATGAAACTGCAATGATTAAGAAAGTGTAAAAAGAAGATAAATGTTGAAACAGGAGCTTAATAAGAAAGAAAATTCATGAAATTGAATCTCAAAGAAAATGAAGAACAGGGAAAAGATAATGGGGTCATACACACTTATTAAATTTAGAGAAGATTTTTATGTCAAACGATATATGCAAGTATATGCATGAACACAAAGTAAAAGAAATGTTTTGATCAATTTTATATTTTGCATAATTTGAAGTGAAAAATAATAAATATTCAAACGAAATAATTTCGCGGCTTTTCTGTGACGTAGGAACCGCACTGCCTAAAACAAGTTAAATTGTCCGTTAGATAGCGCTTGCGGTGTGACAGTGTCAAAATAAAACCATGGATGTAATACAGTGTCTCTATTACATCCATGAACAAAACATAATAAACATAACCTACAAACACTCTATCTCTTTTCAATACAACCTAAATGACGTTCATCTCTTTCTCGCATTTGAGCGGGGAGCAGGGGACGCAAAAGTGAGAATCGTACGTCATCAACGCGGGAATTTTAAAAGCGCAAATGGGTATATAAATTTTCAATAATTTTTTTAACAATGACTTTGTTCGAAAATATTAAAAAAAAAAATAACGGTAACTATATTTTTATATAAACTTTCAGAAAATATAATAAAAAAAAAATCGTGTATGACCCCATGACAAAGTTTATTCATTTATTCATCAACAACATTTAGTTAAAAAATATAAATAAATTAAATAATAATATCAAGGATCATCCCAATAATGTAGCAATGATGATGCTACATCAGAAACGAACTTGATGGAGATGTTGTATGGATTTGGTTAAACCGACGAAAAATATGGAACAGTAAATCATTTTCTATGTAAATGATACAAGAGAAGAACCACAAGCCAAAACATCTGTAAGAAAAAAGAATTACAGCTTAGGAATGAACTAAATTAAATGACATTAATCCTAATTATCACATTTAAAATTAAAAGAACATAAAGTGTTACAAAAAATAAGTAATTATACACTTAAATCTGGTAATACAGTAAAAAAGTAAACTTAATTATGTTAGTTAAGCTTAGAATTTAATTATTTACTTAAAAAATTTGGGTTGTAATGTAAAAGTTAGGCAACTTAATACACAGATAATAAATTGAGGTTATGTTGTTTTTCAAATTTTCAAATGTGTGGGTTAAAAGAAGTGTAACAGAAATATTTTATATGAAACTGCAATGATTAAGAAAGTGTAAAAAGAAGATAAATGTTGAAACAGGAGCTTAAATGAAGAACTGGAAAAATATAATAACGACAAAGTTTATTCATTGATTCATCAACGTCAAAAGAACTTATTATATTGATGAATTCGGTTTAATAAACTTAGTTTGAAGATGTTTGTAATAAAATAATCATGTTAATATCATTAGAAGAATTACATTTAACATTAAAGAATTAATTAATGCTTTCAATGTAAAATATGCAATACATATTCTATTAACTATGTCTCTATTTAATAGGATTCAATTAAATCCACAGATTAAGTATGAGTGAATGTGTACTCAATCTCAGTAAAAAAGTAGCAATGGTTACTTTTATGTTAGAGTTTAGATTACTTGGAATTCAAACCATTTTATGTAATGAACCAATTCGAAAGCCAATTTATATCATTTGATTACTGTAAATGACGTTAGAATAAGTTTTGTTGCTTTTTAAAACTATTAGGAACTAAGTGAAGGAAGAATTGTTGCATGTTATAGAAAATTATTATATTTTTTCTAATATTTATAAAAATACAAATATACAGTATGCAAAATCCATATTAGAACAGCCTCCGAAATATTAGAAAATCACGAATTACTCAGAAATGGTAGTAGAAATTTCAAATTTTTTGCTTTTTGATCTTTGTAGTTCGACAACCGAACGGTAAAGGACATTTTACCAACCTTAATATTAACTAAGAAAATTATACATTTGGAATAACATTGCTAGTTGTCTGTTTGCTTAACAACACCTTGGCATCGATTTCGCTACTTTAGTGATTAATTGAAGTGGTATTTTTTAGTCCATTCTGTCTTCAACGCTATTTTTAAGTCGATTACGTTTCTAACATCGTAATATTTCAATTTCTTCTTGAATATTGACAATAAAATTAAGATCTGCGCCTTGTGATGGTGTTTTGACAACCTTAACAAATAATTACAGATTCTTCAGAACTGCATGGAAGTCTATGTCTATAAATGAAAGAACCTTAAGAAACTTGATATCAAGATTAATAAAAGAAGAAGAATTATTTAAAGGTAATCTAAATAATGAACCAAAACTTGCTTCAAATGTAAAAAAACAGGTCATATTGGTAGATTTTGTAAAATTAAATTAAATAAAGAAAGTGTCGCTTTATTTAGGTATTCTTTTCCGTTGTCGCTTCTTATTTTGGAAACATTTACGTTTATACTTGTTTCCATTTCTTCTACACATTCTTTTAAATAATCTAGAGCAATAAGAAACCTGATTTATCTGGATTACAAATATTTTGATGTGAAGTATAAAAGTGCTGGAATGTTCTTTTCTTGTTATTTATTCTTTTACCCCTGACATCATGTTATATTTATAATAATAAAAGACACTTGTAGTTATTAGATTTATGTAAGAAACTATCAATAACATTACAAGAGTAATAAATTAAAGTGTAAGGTTTGTCAAAATAATTTTATTACATGCTTATTGTGTATTTTGGGTTGCCTAACTCAATTAAACTTTACCATATTAAACAAGGATGTTGTAAATTAATTTGTTAATTAATTTTGATTACATCTTTTGATATATTCTTCATTAAAAAAATTGGTTTTATCTAAAACTCAGCTAATTAAATTATAATTCCGATGCAACGCGAAAGATGAATCTTGACGTTTTCTATACTGTGGGCACATTGTCCACTTATTTTTATATACCATGATACTCAGTTTATATCAAACAGATGTGAAAAAATTAAGATTTATATCAAATAATGATGTTATTTAGTTGTGATTACTAGATAACAAAGTTTCATTTTAATCTTGCTAATTATCAGACAATTTTATTTTGTCAATCAACCAACTATGTCATTTCAAAATCCAAAAAAAAACAAAATCCTTAATTAAAAGTACCTAAAATTAAAAGAAAATGCTTCGCAAACTATTTTTCGCACATTAAACCCGATCATTATCCATTCCAATATTAATTGAAAATCCGTGTAGCTACGAAGATTTCATAAAGAACCACATCAGAAATAATAAAAATTAGGAGTTGTCAAAAAAAAAATTTTTGCTGTCAAATCAAAAAAAAAAAAAATTGAAATAGCGTCGCAAAATGTCTAAAGAAGATGATCATACCAGTGTAAACGAAACGATATCGATTACAGTTAAATCCCAAATGAAAAAGGAATCGTTTAATATATCGACGGAGTCGACGATTTTGGAGTTGAAGGAATTGGTTTCGCCGAAATTCGAAGCAAACGTTCCCGATATTCGGTTGATTTACGCAGGGAGGATATTAAGGGATGAAGATACGTTGGGTAATTTGAACATAAAGAATGGATTTACCATCATTTTGGTTGTAAAATCGACCGCGCCTCAACATAGATTACCAAATATTGGACTTCGATCACCACCACTTAACGAAGTTAACAACCAACAACCTCTAGGGACAAGAAATAGTCTGCACGAATTATTTACTGGGGCAATGCTTCAATATTATCTAGATAACCCGGAATTAATCCGAACGATGTTAACTAATAACCCAGAAATGCAAACAATCATTCAACAAAACCCCGAAATTGGGCACTTAATTAATAACCCAACATTTTTAAGACAAGCAGTCCAATTTATGGCCAACCCAAATATAGCCGAGGAAGTCCGAAGGAGTAATGATCGCGCTATGAGTAATTTAGAAAGTTTACCAGGGGGTTATAATTTATTACAACAACTTTATCAAAACGTAGAGGAACCAATGATGAACTCCGTTAACGAACAATTCCATGGTAATCCTTTCGCTGCTTTATCAACAACCCAAACACCAAATTTACAACAAGGCGCTGAAAATCGCCAACCACTCCCAAATCCTTGGTCAAATACGGCTCCGAACATCACAGAAACTCCAAATTACGGAACCCCGGATGGAAATGTAAACAATTTACAATCGATTTTGCAAAGTTTCATGGCGGGATCCCAAGAAGTCCCTAATACTGGTGGGAATGTACAAGGTCAGGAGATATTACAAGCATTACTTCAAGAACATCAAGGTCTCTCAGCACTTTCTAATCTTATATCAGCCGCTTTAATGGAATCGGAAGGAACGGGAGGTGAAAACCAAATGCCCCAATTTAATATTGAAAATTTAACCGAAACCATCGCCCATTTAACGCAACAAATCGGTTCGGAACGAGTTCCCCCCGAAGAACGTTACAGTAATCAACTCAATCAATTGAATGAAATGGGATTTCCAAATCGAGAAGATAATCTTCAAGCTTTAATAGCAACATTTGGCGATATCAACGCTGCAATTGAAAGACTTATACCTCATTAATAAAAATAAATATTATAAGAATAATAAAAATTGGTTAATTAAACATATTTAATTATATTTCTTCTTAATCTAAATCGTATCTATGATTTTGCATGTCTGTTCTAAGTAAATCAATGTTAGAGAGAATGTTACCGGAGATTAATTGATGGTTTGAGAATAAATGTAAATAATAAGGTAAATAATCTAGTGGTTAAATAATCTAAGGTTATCCAACTCGAACAAATTGACGTTGAAACGTTTTTGAAAAAAATTTAAAAATTGTTTATTAAGAAAATTTAACTAATAACATGAATCTAGATATCCGAGATCGTCAAGTACCTCGAATTCCGAACACTAGATATAGAACTAGAAACATTCGGGTTTAGCCGTCTTTAGAGACGTGCGGCTAAACCCGAATTTTTCTAGTTCTAGGTCTAGTGTTAGTTCTAGTTTTAGTGCAATAAAGATATACAACATAGTAATATTTAGCAACATCATGTTTGGACTCATTTTAATGGTTTTTTTTAATAAAGAATACATCATAAAAGAACACCATGAAGTTGTCCATTTGTCTATTATATGATAACTAACTTCAGATTTAAAATGTCAACCTCAATTTTGACATATTTGTAATCTTCATTAAAAATCTTTTAAAATGAGTACAAACACGACATATTTATCTCCGATATTAATGAAGTTATGGTCAACTTCCGGTTAGAAATGTCAAAGTCAATTTTGACATATTTGTAATCAAATAAAATACTTTTTTCTGTCTGTACTTTTTAAATTCTACCGGTTTCATATTATATATAATCCTACCCATTTCCTAAAAACCCATTAAAATCTATCCAAAAATTACCCATTCTTTAACTTTAATTAATAAAAATAGTTTGCATAGTTCAAGCATAACACACATTTCACCAATAATAAAGACACAGATTCATTTCAATAAAAACGTTTACTAGAAAATTCAAGATGCTAATCATCACGAGAGATTTAAAATAAATTGACGTGGGTGTATTAGAATTTAACATATAATTTAAATGACATTTAGTAGCATTTCAATGCATACACTTTTGTATTAGATTTTAACATATTTAAGTATAACGAGTTGTTCTTTTATAATAGGAGATTCGAAGGTTCCTGAAGATGGTTTTGTAAATAAACCGAAACCGGTAGAATTTAAAACAGTGAATCCATTTTTAATAAAAGTACAGACAGAAAAAAGTATTTTACTTTATTTAAAATAAAATGGAAAGAAATAATGTTTACAACAATATATTTGTAATCGTTGTGTAAAATCCTTTAAAATGAGTCCAAACATGATACGTTTAATTCCAATATTACTCGAGATATAAGCAACTTCCGGTTTGAAATGTCAACGTCATTTTGACAAATTCTTAATTTTTATAAAATGTCTTCAAGTTTATCACAAAAACAAAAATACAATAAAAAAATTTAAAAATTAAGGTTGGTATTAATATTTAATATTGAAATTATCCATCCATCCCATAATATTTAATAATTAAATTGCTATCTATCTTCATTGTTGCTAACTTCGGCTTTAACGTTTTTTTATTCAAACTTTTTTGTTTTTTGATATAAGTGTGTCATGTTTGGACTCATTTTAATGTTTTTTTTTAAATAAAGAATACATCATAAAGAACACCATGAAGTTGTCCATTTGTATTCCATATGATAACTAACTTCAGATTTAAAATGTCAACCTCAATTTTATTTTGACATATTTGTAATCTTCATTAAAAATCCTTTAAAATGAGCACAAACATGATACGTTTAATTCCAATATTACTCGAGATATAAGCAACTTCCGGTTTGAAATATCAACGTCATTTCGACATATTCTTAATTTTTATAAAATGTCTTAAAATTTATCACAAAAACAAAAATACAATAAATAAATTAAAAATTAAGGTTGGTATTAATATTTAATAATTAAATTGCTATCTTCATTGTTGCTAACTTAGGATTTAATGTTTTTTATTCTAACTTTTTTNATATAAATAAAGTTGTATTAAATGAAAAAAGTCCTATTGGGGTTGAACTTGATTATTATCTGCAGTGTCCAACACCTAAAAGAAATACTAATTCCTGTGATTGGTGGAGTACTAAGTAATTACATTTTGTGGTATTATTTGTTGCAAACCAAGTACACAACATATTTTCTATGTCTGGTTGGCTCGCTCAACCGAACCTTGTGTATGTATGGATTGGGGAGTGCATGCAAAACCGCACGCCACACTTAGGCCCCATTGGGCCCCTTGTAACCGAACCTTGTGATTGGCTGTGTCTCAGTTTTCCATGAACGATTTTAAGTTCCTGCCACATTTCTTCAATAACTTTGTTTGCAAATTCCCTACCATTGTTGCTTTGTAAAATGCAAGAAGCTCCAAAAATTGTTAATATGTTTAAAAGATGATAAGCAACTTCTTCCGTTAGTTTTGTTTTTAAAGCTCTGAGTTGAATAAACTTCGTCCAACCAGAAATGTCCATTAGCTCAGTAAATCCAACAAGGTACATTGCAAATCGTGAGATAACATTTCAAAAAAAAATAGGTAAGGTTGTAAAGAAAATTGTCTAAACTTATCAAAAAATGTCTATTTTATATCTTTCATTATTACTATTTTATTTGTAATTCAGAGTTAAATTGTTGTACATTTTTATTGTATTAAAAGTACACCGCAATTGAAAGACTTCATTAATAAAACAAATATATATAACAAAAAAAATTGGTTAATTAAACAAAATTTTTTTTGTTTCAAAAACATACTTAATTATAAATCAAATCTATAATTTTGCATGTTGGCTTGTTCCGACCAAGCTGCGAATCGTGATCCATCAATGTTAGAGTGAGTGTTACCAGAGGTTAATTGATGACTTTGCCCACCAATCTTAGATCCACAATCGGGACATTTCCCTTCTTGCATCGCTCCACCACATTCTCCAATCGCGTAAAGATGCCCATTAGGACACTTATACCAACCACCAGATCTAACCCCAATCACTTTTATGATTTGTTTTAATTCATCTTCGCTTACATCTAATATGCCCACACTATTACGCAATGCTTCAAGTAATGGTTTAATGGAGGCATCATACTGACCGTTATAACGTTTTAAGATATATATTTTATGTTCTACATTCCTATATTCCGGGGATTGACGTTTACTAATGGATAATCGATGTGATATAGATTCCAATTGTATAATTCGGCGCAATCGTTTTAATTCAAGCTCAAAATCTTCAACTTCTTGTTGAGTCATACGTTCTGGATCGGTGTTTAAACGATTTAGAAGGAAATTAATGTAATTTATACATTTATTATTGGGTTGATTTTTTGGGCTGATGTTAAATACGTTAACTTGGCCAAAGTTCTTCTGGTAGAGGTTGCATATATTTTCTAAGATTTGTATTTTTGCGATTGTCGAATTTACTGTTAATTTCGTTAGCATTTTACGTTTTCCTTGTTTGACGGGTTTTAATTGATCTTCGAATAATCTTTGGAGATCATGTACTATTGGGCAAACTGTAAAAGATAAATTTAAATGAAAATTGTTTAAAAATATAATTTTTTTTATATGTTCCTGTCAATGTCAAATTTTTAGGGTTATGTTATATTTGAATTATTAATTAAAATTTTGTTTTTTTTTTAATTAAAATTTTTAGTAACTAAATTAAAGTTAAAAATATTTTATTTAATGCTATTTTAATTGTTTATGGGTTAATATAAAACCAAAAAACGGAATTTTGTGTTTTTAAATAACCAAAGATCATCTTACCAATTGTTACCAACTTTAAATAATTTGACAGGACGAAAGAAAAAAAAACTAACCTGTTTGAAGTGATGATTTTTTACATAAATCATCAAAATTTTTTTTTATACGTTCCTGTCAATGTCAAATTTTTAGGGTTATGTTATATTTGAATTATTAATTAAAATTTTGTTTTTTTTTTAATTAAAATTTTTAGTAACTAAATTAAAGTTAAAAATATTTTATTTAATGCTATTTTAATTGTTTATGGGTTAATATAAAACCAAAAAACGGAATTTTGTGTTTTTAAATAACCAAAGATCATCTTACCAATTGTTACCAACTTTAAATAATTTGACAGGACGAAAGAAAAAAAAACTAACCTGTTTGAAGTGATGATTTTTTACATAAATCATCAAAATTTTTTTTTATACGTTCCTGTCAATGTCAAATTTTTAGGGTTATGTTATATTTGAATTATTAATTAAAATTTTGTTTTTTTTTTAATTAAAATTTTTAGTAACTAAATTAAAGTTAAAAATATTTTATTTAATGCTATTTTAATTGTTTATGGGTTAATATAAAACCAAAAAACGGAATTTTGTGTTTTTAAATAACCAAAGATCATCTTACCAATTGTTACCAACTTTAAATAATTTGACAGGACGAAAGAAAAAAAAACTAACCTGTTTGAAGTGATGATTTTTTACATAAATCATCAAAATTTTTTTTTATACGTTCCTGTCAATGTCAAATTTTTAGGGTTATGTTATATTTGAATTATTAATTAAAATTTTGTTTTTTTTTTAATTAAAATTTTTAGTAACTAAATTAAAGTTAAAAATATTTTATTTAATGCTATTTTAATTGTTTATGGGTTAATATAAAACCAAAAAACGGAATTTTGTGTTTTTAAATAACCAAAGATCATCTTACCAATTGTTACCAACTTTAAATAATTTGACAGGACGAAAGAAAAAAAAACTAACCTGTTTGAAGTGATGATTTTTTACATAAATCATCAAAATTTTTTTTTATACGTTCCTGTCAATGTCAAATTTTTAGGGTTATGTTATATTTGAATTATTAATTAAAATTTTGTTTTTTTTTTAATTAAAATTTTTAGTAACTAAATTAAAGTTAAAAATATTTTATTTAATGCTATTTTAATTGTTTATGGGTTAATATAAAACCAAAAAACGGAATTTTGTGTTTTTAAATAACCAAAGATCATCTTACCAATTGTTACCAACTTTAAATAATTTGACAGGACGAAAGAAAAAAAAACTAACCTGTTTGAAGTGATGATTTTTTACATAAATCATCAAAATTTTTTTTTATACGTTCCTGTCAATGTCAAATTTTTAGGGTTATGTTATATTTGAATTATTAATTAAAATTTTGGTTTTTTTTTTAATTAAAATTTTTAGTAACTAAATTAAAGTTAAAAATATTTTATTTAATTCTATTTTAATTGTTTATGGGTTAATATAAAACCAAAAAACGGAATTTTGTGTTTTTAAATAACCAAAGATCATCTCACCAATTGTTACCAACTTTAAACAATTTGACAGGACGAAAGAAAAAAAAACTAACCTGTTTGAAGTGATGATTTTTTACATAAATCATCAAAATTTTTTTTTATACGTTCCTGTCAATGTCAAATTTTTAGGGTTATGTTATATTTGAATTATTAATTAAAATTTTGGTTTTTTTTTTAATTAAAATTTTTAGTAGCTAAATTAAAGTTAAAAATATTTTATTTAATTCTATTTTAATTGTTTATGGGTTAATATAAACCCAAAAAACGGAATTATGTGTTTTTAAATAACCAAAGATCATCTTACCAATTGTTACTTTAAACAATTTGACAAGACGAAAAGAAACTAACCTGTTTGAAGTGATGAATTTCTACATAAATAATCCAATTTTCGAATTTCTTCCTTTCCAATACGAATATTTTCCCCTAAATCACCATAAAACTTTTTCTTAACCTCCATAATATCTCTCAATGAAGCTTTAACATAATCTCTATATCTGCTTGTATTAATAACCGGAGTTTTACATTTCGGACAACCTTTACTTGTAATTTCACCTTTACTCTCTTCCTTGATCCACTCATCCATCCCTTCACTTTCAATGACATGTTGACAATCTTCAAGCAAAACGAATCTAGCGTTTGGTTCATCTTCGTTTCCAAAAAATATCTCAGTAACTTGTTCGTTATCACAAATTCTGCATAATGGCGGACATGGATCTCCACAGAATCCGATACATTTATGTTTGCACTTTAACAATAGCGGACAAATTCTGTTACACGGACCAACTGAACATATCTGTTCACAAGGATTATTACAAGCTTGATGAACGCATCTACGTGTGCAATGTTCATTGCACGGTGTGCAAATTTCACCACATCTCTTGCCACATTTAGTGTGTGGACATCTTACTTGACACTTTTGATTGCATGGTGGGCATTCGGCCCGACAAGGTGTTTTACAAACGTGTCCACACACCAAAGGCACTCCACAATCCGAGCTGCACACTTTATGGATGCGACCTTGATAACATTCACCACAATTTCCTTTGCATATATGATTGCATTTCAATGTTACGTTGCATGGTTCTTTGCAATAGGATAGTAAAGTTGAATTTGTATTAATTTCAGCTATAAATAGAAATCGTTTTAGTTATACTCTATTTAGGCCAACTTGTACCACCTCTTGATAAATTTATCCGATAGATAAATTGGCGCTCTTTTGCCCGGAATACACGAGCCTAGTTTTGTAAGTTAGGATAGAAAGCTAGATAACTTTCCTGGCTTGCTTGGAATATGCTAGTGCTGTCTACATGCCAGTAATTTTAAGCCAGCCAAGTCAGTAACATAACAGATGGTACAACACGTTCATGATACCTAGCTTTTCCGGCCACACGAAGCTAAACCCAAGCCACGACGGCGAAATCAGTGGTGGGGGAAGCTTACTAGCTTTAAAAATAGAACGGCAAGCTATTAAACTATCCTGGCTTCAGACACTAGCTTACCAGCCTGGAATAGAGCTAGTTTTGTATACACGAAGATAGATGCACTAGCTTGCTAGCTTACTAGCACTAGCTTGTTATCCTAGGTTGCAAAACTAGGCTCGTGTATTTCGGGTATTAAGGTCCATTACTACCATATTTTAGTTAAATTTATTTTATAGATAAACCCATCTACTAGCCAATGAGAGCGCTTAAAACCGCTGTAATCATGGTAATTATCCCTTAGATAGTTTATCAGGAGGATGGTAAAAGTGGACCTAACACAGTGTAATTTTTCAAAGCTATTTTTGGCGGGAATTTTAAAACGAGATGATTTTAAGTAAACTGTAGGAAGGCACTGTCCGTTATAGCTCAATAAAAATACACAATAATTTAGCGTTGAATAACAAATAAAACTCGACTAATACTAGCACTAGAACTAACACTAGATCTAGCACTAGAAACATTCCGTTTACCTATATCTCTCTTAAGACGGCTGGTAGATAGTAAATAGCGAATATATAGAAACATTCGGGTTTAGCCGTACGTCTTTCAAGACGGCTAAACCCGAATGATTCTACTTCTAGTGTTAATTCTAGTTTTACACTAGCACTATCACTAGAACTAACACTAGACCTAGAACTAGAATTATTCGGGTTTAGCCGCACGTCTTTCAAGACGGCTAAACCCGAATGATTCTACTTCTAGTGTTAATTCTAGTTTTACACTAGCACTATCACTAGAACTAACACTAGACCTAGCACTAGAAACATTCCGTTTACCTATAACTCACTTAAGACGGCTGGTAGATGGTAAATATCACTATGTAGCATATTTTTATTGAACTAAAACTAGAACTGACATTAGACCTAAGACTAAAAAGTTTCGGGTTTAGTTGTACGTCTAGACCTAGAACTGGTCTAGTGTTAGTTCTAGTTTTACACTAGCACTATCACAAGAACTAACACAAGATCTAGAACTAGAATCATTCAGGTTTAGCCATCTTTAGAGACGTGCGGCTAAACCCGAATATTTCAAGTTCTTAGTCCAGTGTTAGTTCTAGTTTTACACTGGTACTATCAATAGACCTAACACAAGACCTAGAACTAGAATTATTCGGGTTTAGCCGTCTTTAGAGACGTGCGGTTAAACCCGAATGTTTCTAAGTCTAGTGTTAGTTCTAGTGGCAGTGGTAGGTAGCGCTAGTTAGCATAAGATATTACTACGTTGTATACAGGCTGTCTCACGTAATTGGTTTGTTGGAACTTTTTCACGTTACATTATTCGTAGACGTTTGAAATGTTGGTAACATGGGCTGTTCATTCGGAAGTTTTGTTCTAAAATATTTTCAAGATGGCCGCCACTTCCTGTCTACCGGAAGTAGACCATAACTTCGTTATTTTAAATGGAATGTTATAGTTTTTATTGTACGTATAAGTACATGTTGACTTTGATAAAAGTTATTGGTACCTCGAGTTATTTTGTCTTTTTTTGGCAAAATATGTACAGGGTGGGCCAAATTGGACACTTTTAAAGGCAAACTCCTCTTTCTATAAGAGATAGAGGGAAAATGATATCACTGTGTGAAGCTCAATTTTTATAAGAAACTTAATGGCGAAAACCGCATATCTGTTATGGTTTCTGAGATCTCAATGGTGGGAGTCGAATTTGAATTATCCTGTATAGTATTTTTATGCCAATAACTACTAAAGCATTGCTTTGAGGAAAAGCTAACTTATTCCATCGAACTATACATAAAAAGTTGCTTTGGAAATGTTTTCACAGAAAGGAAGATTTTTGAATAAGAAAAAAGTTATGACGACTTTTCGAAAAAAGACTTTTTTGAAACACACCCTGTAGCTCGGAAACCACAAGAGATATCGATTTGCGGTTTTCGCCATTAAGTTTCTTATAAAAATCGAGCCTCAGACATTGATATTATTTTTCCTCTATCTCTTATAGAAAGAGGAGTTTTCCTTTAAGTGTCCAATTTGGCCCGGCCTGTATATAAATAATAATAATATTGTAAATAAACTACAATGAATAGATATAAGAATGTTTATAGATAATTTGGAGAGAATTAAATTCCCTTTTGAGTAGGTTACACTGAGGGAAATTATTCTTGACTTTCAACAAAAATTTATTCTTGAATGTATTTCTTAGAAACAAATATAAGATACTCTTAAAACAAAAATATTTTTTTGTTTTCAGAATATAAATATTATCGAATGAATATATTCTTAGCATCGAAGAAAATCAATTTTTTGTATCAAAAAATTCATTCTTGCGTCAATAATTTATAATATTCAAATGAAGAATTATACAAGATTGTTGGTACATGAATAAGTTTTTCTAAAAAGAAAGATACGTTATTCTTGACTTAAGAAATCTATTTTCGCAACGAAAATGGGATTGTTGACGCAACACTAAGATACTCTTTTTCAAGATTATTGATTTACTTTCACGAAGATATACAAGAATATGATAAGCTTGAGCCAAGAGTAATAATCTTCGTTCAAGAATATATTTCTCTCAGTGTAATAAAATATAGGGCGTTCCATTCAAAATTTTCGACGTTCTCCCCATTGAATATGGAAAAACGGTAATTCAATTTTTGACCACCCTGTGTAAGATACTTCGATACAGCAAATGACAATCTATTTGACAGCATCTGAAGAATAATCGTGCTTTTTAAAGCTTTTTTGAATAAACGTGGGTTAAGGAGGTTTAAAGAGCATGGTGAAATTTGCCAAAAAAGAACTTAAAATCAAAATAAAATCAAAAAACGAAAAACGCTAGGTTCCAATAACTTTCATGAAAGTTAACATATTTTCTTATGTACAATTAATAAGTGTAATAAAAACTATAGCATTCCATTTAAAATAACGAAGTTACGGTCTACTCCCGGTAGACCGGAAGTGGCAGCCATCTTGAAAATATTTTAGATCAAAAGTTCCGAATGAACAACCCATGCTACCAAAATTTCAAAACTGTACGAATAGTAGAACCTACAAAAGTTCTAACGAACCAGTTACGTGAGACACCTGTATTTCTATTGAACTAAAACTAGAACTAACACTAGACTGAGAACTAGAAACATTCGGGTTTAGCTACACATCTTTCAAGACGTCTAAACCCGAATGATTCTAGTTCTAGGTTTAGTGTTAGTTCTAGTTTTACACTAGCAGTATCACTAGAATTAACATTAGACCTAGAACTAGAATCATTCGGGTTTAGCCGCACGTCTTTCAAGACGGCTAAACCCGAATGATTCTAGTTCTAGTGTTAGTTCTAGTTTTACACTAGCACTATCACTAGAACTAACACTAGACCTAGAATTAAATCATTCGGGTTTAGCCGCACGTCTTTCAAGACGGCTAAACCCGAATGATTCTAGTTCTAGGTCTAGTGTTAGTTCTAGTTTTACACTAGCAGTATCACTAGAATTAACACTAGACTTAGAACTAGAAACATTTGGGTTTAGCCACACGTCTTTCAAAACGGCTAAACGCGAATGATTCTAATTCTAGGTCTAGTGTTAGTTTTAGTTTTACACTAGTACTATCATTAGAACTAACACAAGACCTAGAACTAGAATTATTCTGGTTTAGCCATACTGAGAGGCTAAACCTAGGCGGGGGTCAACATCTCGAATTTTCTTAGTGTAATTTTTGCTTAAAACTGTAAATCAATAGCAACCCTCCTTTTTGGCGTTTCAATTTGAAAACACTCCGCCGAATTAAAAACTAGAGTATAAAATCAAATTAAAAATTATCCAACTTACCAACTCTATTTAGTGAACAAGGAATATCCGCATTATGTCCACAAAGTAATGGATGAATACTTTTTGTTAAAGCTTTACATTGAGTAGTGCATGGATCTTTACATTTTTCTTGACATTGATGTCCACAGGGTAACTTCAATGGACATTTTCCTTTACATTTGCTTTTAGTAGGCGTCTCCATACATGGTATTTTAATTTTATGGCCACAGTCAATTACTATTTTTTCCACAATGACCTTACAGTTTCCGCATGGATCAGAACATTTTTGTTTGCATGGATGTCCGCAAGGTAATTTTTCTTTACACGGTTTTGGACATTCTGACAATTCAACGCTCACGCTACACTTCATTGCGTATACATGACCACAGGATCTTTGTTTTTTTACAACGATATCGCACTCATCACATTCCTGATAGCAAAATTTCCTACATCGATGATCATCTAAATTAGTTATACATCCTGGACGTTGTTTATTACATGTTCTATGACATTTATACTAAAAAAAAATTATTATGTTCACTTAATTATTTATAATTATTAATTTACCTCTAAATGATCTGGATCATTATTTTTATGGCACTTCTGTGCGCAGACATGTCCACAACTTTCGACACGAACATCACAGGGATGTGGACATTTAACTAATTCGGTTGGTAAGTGACACGGTTTTCGCGTTTTGTGGTCACATGAAAGTGTAACGTCCACAATCTCTTTGCACAGAAGTTCTCGGTCAGAACATGCGAAGATACCAACGTGACCGCATTGAAGAGTCCTCGAAACAGCAACCATACATAAATCGCATTCTTCAAAACATTTTTTAGGACAAGGATGTTCGTCATCGCAGAGTAATCTAAATAAAAATTTTGATTGTTGTTGAATAGTGTCGAAATGCTTTTCAAATAATGTGAAAAAGTTTTCTTCTTAACCTCAATAGACTGCCAAAGTTTGACGTCACAGAGATGGGCGGAGCTTATACCGACTCCAAACAATTTCGTTGCTAACCACAGTTGGTAACGAAAAATGGTCATAAAAATGTCATTTAAAATGTCACTTAGTTTATTTTAACATTAATTGAAAAATTGCATATGGCGATTTAACGTCTATGACGTCAAGGCTTAGATTGTCTATTATACTCTGTTTTTAAACCAAGAGGAGTAAACGCGAAAGTCAGATTTACACTAGGAAAAATCACCAGAAAATATCACTAGATATTTTGGCGGTAAATTTAAATTAATAATTATTATTATTTATTTAGTTACTTATTATTGTATTTATTTTCGTTTGTTATCGTCAACACTAAACATACAAATTAACATTGAAGTTATGAGTGTATTTATTTCAAAATATAATAAAAAAGGGTTTAAGAACATAAAATTTACAATAATGACACGAAACTGTCGAATTGTCAATAACCTAACCTTCAAATTCAAAATCAAACTTCAAAATTGCCTGTGTGTGAACCTTCCTCGCATTCAACCAATCACGTGCAAGGTCAATCTGGTGACAAATTTAAAATACTCCTCCTGGTTTAAAAACAGAGTATAGCTAATTACCAAAAATATTACTAGAAATTAGAAAATAACGTAAAGTTCATAGGGACTCTAGGTAATACCAATAGAAACTCTAACAAATTTGACCTTGAAAGGTATAAAAAAAAAAAAAATTTAAAGTTAGACACCTGCCAAAAGCATCAACTGTCAAATAAGGTCTAAAAATGATTAAGGAAAGAAAGATGTGTTTCAAAATGGAATATAGTGTTAAAAAGTGTCGAAAAAGTTATAAAATGGCGAAATGTCAAAAAGAATGAATGCTGTCATAAAGTGTCAAAACGTTCTAAAGTATTTTAATATGTCAAAAAGTATTATGAAATGTCGAAATGAATCAAACCTTTTTAGGTGGCGTTAAACAAAGTCAAAAATTATTTGATAACTGGTGGTGTTGAAAAAATGGTGCCGAAACGGTATAGGAAAAAGATGTCAAAAAGTTTCAAATAGTGTCACATAATGCGAACTACATAGTATCAAGCAATGTCAAAAAGTGTCATAAAATGTAAAGAGATGGATGTATCAGAGAATCAAAAAATACTGAAATGTGTCAAAATGTCAAAAACTGCGTAAATGCGAAAAACCACGTCAAAAAGAGACAATAAAGTCAAAAAACCTCGTAGTAACAAGACGGATCAAAATTATTATAAACTATCAAGAAGAATCAAATGAGTTAAAGTGTTAAAAAGTTTCAAAGTATTTTAATATGTCAAAAAGTATTAGGAAATGTCAAACCGACTCAAACCTTTCTAGGTGATGTTAGGCGGAGTCAAAAATATTCCGATAACTGCTAAACAATATTAAAAAATGCCGAAAAAGTTATAAATTGTCGAAATGTCATAAAGAATGAATGCTGTCATAAAGTATCAAAAGTTTCCAAAGTATTTTAATATGTCAAAAAGTATTATGAAGTATCGAAATGAATCAAGTCGTTTTAGGAGGCGTTAGGCAGTCAAAAATAATTTGATAACTGCCAAATAGTGTCAAAATGGTATAGGAAAAAGATGTCAAAAAGTTTCAAAGAGTGTCACATAATGCGAACTACATAGTGTTAAGGAATGTCAAAAAGTATCAAAAAATGTAAAGAGGTGGATGTATCAGAGAGAATCAAAAAATAGTCAAATGTGTTAAAACGTCAAAAACGTCGTAGTAACAAGACGGATTCAAAATTATTATAAACTATCAAGAAGAATCAAATGAGTTAAAGTGCCAAAGTATTTTAATGTCAAAAAGTATTATGAAATGTCAAAATGAACAAACATTTCAAAATGGCTTAAGGATAAGATGTGAAAAAGTTGGAAATAGTGTCACATAATGTGAAGTACATAGTATCAAGAAGTGTCGAATATGCCAAAAGGTATTAGAGTTTCAAAAACCGTTATGTAAAGTTAGACAATATCAAAAATCATCAATAAATATTGAAAAATTCAAAGAGTTGCCGTTGTCAAAAGTATTAACTGTCAAATAACATCTAAAAATGATTAAGGTAAGTCAAAATAAGTATAAAAAAAAATAGAGTGTCAAAAAGTGTCGATAAAGTCAGAAAATGTATATATATGGAAATTTAGGCAGAGTGAAAATATTTCGATAACTGTCAAAGTGTTAAAATGCTTTTAAAAAGTTTCAAATAGTGTCGCATAATGCGAACTACATACCATATTATATTAAAAAGAGTCAAAAGGTGATAGAATGTCAAAATCAGTCAAGTAGTGTCAAAATGTTTCAAATAATGTCAAATAATGCGAACTACACAGTATCAAGCAATGTCAGAAAGTGTCAAAAAAATGTAAAGAGGTAGATGTATCAGAGAGAATCAAAAACACATAAATGTGTCAAAAACGGTGTAAATGTGAAAAACTACGTCAAAAAGAGACGATAAAGTCAAAAAACGTCGTAGCATCAAGAAGTCAAAAATTATTATAAACTATAAAGAAGAATCAAATGTCAAAAAGTGCCCAAGTATTTTAATATGTCAAAAAGACTCTAGCCTTTCTAGATGGTGTTGGACGGAGTCAAAAAATTCCGATAACTGCTAAATAGTGTCAAAATGGTTTAAGAAAAGATGTCAAAAAGTTTGAAATAGTGTCACATAATGCGAACTACATAGTATCAACCAATGTCAAATATGCGAAAAGGTATCAGAGTTTCAAAAACCGTTATGTAACGTCAAAAATGATCAATAAATATTGAAAAATTCAAAGGGTTACCCTTGTGAAAAGTACCAACTACAAATAACATCTAAAAATGATTAAAGAAAGTCAAAATAAATTTAAAAAAGAATATAGTGAGAAAAAGTGTCGACAGTCAGAAAATGTTCAAATATCAAGAAAGGTCAAAGCTGTCAAAAAGTAGCGAAGTATTGTAATATGTCAAAGGTATTGCGAAATGCCAAATTGAATCAAAAATTGCTATACCTTGTGAAAATCTAGGCAGGCTTTTAAAAAGTTTCAAATAGTGTCACATAATGCGAACTACATACCTACCACGTTATATTAAAAAGTGTCAAAAGGTGAGAAAATGTCAAAAACAGTTAAGTAGTAACAAAATTTACCCTGTACCAAATTTCAACGCTCTACCATAAATGGTATTGAAAATATAAAGAAAAATGTGTTAAAATTTCNGATTCCGATAATTGCTAAATAGTGTCAAAATGGTTTAAGAAAAGATGTCAAAAAGTTTGAAATAGTGTCACATAATGCGAACTACATAGTATCAACCAATGTCAAATATGCGAAATGTATCAGAGTTTCAAAAACCGTTATGTAACGTCAAAAATGATCAATAAATATTGAAAAATTCAAAGGGTTACCCTTGTGAAAAGTGCCAACTACAAATAACATCTAAAAATGATTAAAGAAAGTCAAAATAAGTTTAAAAAAGAATATAGTGAGAAAAAGTGTCGACAGTCAGAAAATGTTCAAATATCAAGAAAGGTCAAAGCTGTCAAAAAGTAGCGAAGTATTGTAATATGTCAAAGGTATTGCGAAATGCCAAATTGAATCAAAAATTGCTATACCTTGTGAAAATCTAGGCAGGCTTTTAAAAAGTTTCAAATAGTGTCACATAATGCGAACTACATACCTACCACGTTATATTAAAAAGTGTCAAAAGGTGAGAAAATGTCAAAAACAGTTAAGTAGTAACAAAATTTACCCTGTACCAAATTTCAACGCTCTACCATAAATGGTATTGAAAATATAAAGAAAAATGTGTTAAAATTTCTGAACTTTGATTGGCCCATATCTTAGCCATTTGAAGACTTTTATAATAATTTTTTTTCACGAATCGTAATCATTTTTGCTCTAGTATATGAGGTTAATTTTATGCCCCAAGTCACCAGAACACTTGTATACAAAATTGCTTAGTTTAGTCGCTAGAGGGCTTTGGAAATTCATGATGAATCAAAGATAAAACGCAAAACGAAGTTCTAGCTTTAATTGTTATTCAGCGTTAGATTGTGGTATATTTTTATTGAACAAAAAGTAGAACTAACACTAGACCTAGAACCAGAAACATTCGGGTTTACCTCCGCGTCTCTTAAGACGGAAACTCAGTTATCATAAGGACGTCACTTTTTCCAACCAAACTTTTCCTTTTCAAAACTACCCAATGCCTGTACTATTATATTAAGCTATGTTGCATTTGATGTGGGACAGTGTAAGTGCATAGTAGTTTCGTTACTATGGTTACTGCATTCATATATCGAGTTATATAAAATTATCGGTATAAGAAAATATTGATGATTACTTACTTCATGCATTTCTCACGACAATTTGATTCTGTATGTTCACGGTTTCTAGTGTGACATTGCATTTTACAAAAATGTCCACAACTGAGTAAAATGTTGCATAATTCATCGCAACCGCCCTCAACAACTTTTTTAAAATCGTTGATAGATTTTATGTAAGTTATTTTATTCCTATGAATTTCGCAAGATAACGGTAAAGCTTCTCCGAGACTTTCTTCTTTTTCCAGAGTAACTTTTATCTTTCCCCAAATCTACACAAAAGAAAAACAATAACATAATTTATACAGTGTGACCCATTTGAAAGCGGAACTCCCTCGTAAAATTTGTATTTATTATCCGATTTCCGCTTTCAAATGGGTCACACTGTATATTATTCATTACAATTAACTTACATCTTGAGATGCTTGAGTTAACATTTCCATATTTCCCATAATATAAAATCCTTCTCGTGCACGCGATAACGCCACGCAAACTCTGTTATCGATTTTTAAAAATCCCACATTTTTTTCTTTGTTATTTCTAACAAGGGATAACAGTATAATTTTGCTTTCTTCTCCTTGATAATTATCTAAAACGCATATTCGTATATCACGTAGAAGCGGGAACTTTTTACGTTCCGCAAACATTTTGAAAAGTTGCGCGGAATAAGCGCAAAGTATGGTTACATCTTCCGGTTTATAACCATTTAAAATCAAGTATTGCGCCAAACGAATTAAATATTCCACTTCGAACATGTTTAATTTACTATCATCCTTTTCCCTGCTCTCCAAGTTCGCGTGAGTGATGAAATAGAGATTTTTTCGGACTCCTCTCACTCGTGGGAAATTATAAACCGATTCGTGATTATGTAATACAGGATAAATTGTTGGAACGATTAATTTTGCGAATTCCGGTCGCATGCGATGTTGAATTTCTAATACGTTACATTCAACATTATTACGTATCATACGTTCGAATAAACTTATTCCTAAATTATATTTTTTTTCCATTAAAAAATCTGCAGTTGATGGACTAAAAAATAAATTAATTAATTAATTCAATTAATTTTAATCTTCGAGCGGGCGCGCTGTCATAAAATTTATGACAATTTTCGTTTTTATAATACAGGGTGGTTCAGTTTTTAATCGGGAAACTTTACTAG